TGAAGTGAATTAGAAAAAATCTCAATAGTGTAAAAACTCCAGAAAAGCTTCGGACAACAAGGATGTAACTAATTATGAATTAAAATTATTTATATTTCCTAATTTTGAATAATACATATAGTTTTTAAAATTTCGAAAAGATTTAAATGAACTATAATGTTTTTACAATATTTATTGTTTGTAACTTATTGAAAAGGAACTTTGTAGCTATTACGATTATAACAAATTTTAGAGGGGAAAATGAACTACGTAAATAATTGATTTTTCCCGCTAAAATTTCTTATATATTTCAATTTGTGTTAATTTGCAGAATTTCTATAAATTAAAGAAGTATTCATTTCACTTACGCTGTATTGTAAGATAAATTTATTATATTTTGCATAAATAAAAAAAGTTTTATGCTTTTTAAAAACGGATTTAATTCGTATGTTCTATTTTTATTGACTTTTTTTTCATGTTCTTTTTTTCATAACTAACAAATAGCTTAACCCTCTCGAGCATGAATCTTAAAATCTATGATTTAAATTGTTGTGATAAATGTCGTTAAAGAAGTTAAAATTTTGACGAGGTTTATTAAAAATGGAAAATTTATCAATATTTAAGTGTCGAAATTAATTAAATTTTACTATTAATATTTTATGTATAATATTTGATATTTCAATGTTTACTCTGCCTTATTAAACGAAAAGGTGGAAGTTTTAAAATGGTTTTGCATTATTTACTGTTAGAAACATTTTGAGATAATTATGTAATTAGTGCATTTTATAAAATTAAAAAAAAAATCACATAACTTTAAATTCTATATTAAGTATTATAAAAATAAAACCTTTTAAGAAACTTCATCAGGTACAAATTAACAAATGTAAATAAAAACTAAAATGTATTCTGGATAAATAATTAAAATAGACAAAAATATTCTATATTTTTTTAAAAATAAACGTTTAGAAGATACTTAAATTATCACACGTAGTCTGTATAAATATAAATAAATCAGTCAACATTAGAAAAATTCACATTCTTTAATACATCGTATGGGCTAGATTATCGGATAAATTTAAAATTACATGTTAACAAATATATAGTTTATTTTTTAATTTAATTGATGAATGCAAACTAATCAATGAGCATTGCGCAAAATAAAAAACGGATCACCGTGATCTAATGATGAGATCTTCACGTTGTAGGACTCAATCACTCGAAAGGGAGATCTTAAATGTGCTAATTAATTAGTGCACACGATATTTTAAGTAACAAAATCGGACACAAAAAAGCACTATCTACGAATAAACATACCTTTTCAAAGATTGATTTGGATTTCTGACACCCAAAATATAGGAGGAAGCCGCAATCTGGAAAATAGGGTCCTATAGTTTGTTTAGGAGAGGGGTTCTAATTTTGAAACCCTTAATGCTAATCAAACTTTTTGAGCATTTAACCATACTTCACAAACTCTTTTTAAGTGAATTAAAAAAATTTGCACGAAATTATAAAAATAATTTATTTAAAGATAATTCCATGCAAAAATAAGTTTTAGTAAGTATTGCATAATTTTTATTATTTTATTTAATAGTGATAAAAAAAATTAAATGGTAAGATATACAATTTTAAAGACTGTAAATTTTATATAACAAAATACAAAATTTTAACGAAATCGGTTAAATAGTTACTGAGAAATTGAATTTTTAAAATTCGATTTCTCGAGTACTATTCGTCAGATTTCGCTCAGATTTTGTACTTCGTCATGTAAAACTACATTCTTTTAAATGATATTAAAAATTGTTTACCTTACAAATCAAAATTTTTTGACTATTAATAAATAAAATAATGAATATTTAATAAAAGTTTTTTGCGTGTATTTATCTTTGGATAAAAGAATTTTATAACTGCGTGCAAAATGTTTTTTTAAATAGCTTAAAAAGTTCTCAATATATAGTAAAATAATCAAAAAGTAAAATTAACATTAAGGGTTCCAAACTTTGGACCATTCTCCTGACCAAACAATCAGGAAAATATTTCCCAGATTGCGGCTACTTCTCCTACATTCAAAAGGTCAGAAATCAGAATTTATCTAAAAAAGGTATAAAAAAAATTCGTTTTTGTGTTTGATTTCTTAACTTAAAAATATTAATTTTTATGTATATACAATTGCTGAAAGCATATAGAATTAATTTGAATGAATAAAAAGTTATTTGGAAGTTCATTTCAGTAATTAGAATAACCTAAAGCCATAGAACATCAAAAGTATAAGTTTTTTTGAAAATGAATAATTTGTTATTTATAGAAAACTATTTATTATTTATAGAAATTATATAACTTATACTTTATTAAAGATAAGTCACATTTTTGTGAAAATAAAAAGCTTTTACGATTTAAATTTTAAATATTCAAAACGTTACTCCAACAATGCATTACCTGGGCTCACAAATATTTGCGGAAATGGAGAATTATTAATGAACTAGGAGGCTCCGCCCCCTGCTCGCTAACGCTCGCCAACCCCCGAGAATTGCTACGCAATCCTATGTGGTTCACGCCGTGAACCATGGCTCGCTGCGCTCGCTCGCCAATGAACACAATGTTCTAGCACAAAGACATAATATATTATCATCAAAGACATAGTATTTTATCATCAAAGACATAGTATTGTACTTATGTAGAAGAATTCTACCAATGTTCTTATTGGCTTTTAAAANGGGTGGGTGACCACTTGGATCAGTCTGCGTAGGGACCGAGGGTGTGCGGTATTGGTCCTCGTTAAACTGTGCTACCGTAAAGTGCTCGACTTCGCGCGCAGGTCGTCGGGCTACCGAAGCGGGGGTGCCATCCCTTCCGCAGAGGATCAAAATTGTGATGGCATGTCTTCGGATCATCCTCCGGGATGTTTCCCAGATCGTCGCCAATAGCCCATTGTGCAGCTCTAGTGCGACGTAAAGTAACAACAACAACGTCGGATGGTTTAGGAGTCTATAGAGGACAGACAGACAGACACACATTCACTTTTATATATATAGATAAGTCACATTTTTGTGAAAATAAAAAGCTTTTATGATTTAAATTTTAAATATTCAAAACGTTACTCCAACAATGCATTACCTGGGCTCACAAATATTTGCGGAAATGGAGAATTATTAATGGATTATGATAGTTTTCATCTAGATGAAAAAATCTTGCTATAAAGTGAATTTGTAGAAAAATGTAATATTTTTCAAAATATTTCAGTTTTCCGCTCATTCTAAAGAACAAAAAAAATTTTTTGGCAAAACGTTAAAACTAAGGATTTGCCAGAAAGGCACTCTGCTCTTTAATTTGCTTGATGAATGAGCTTTTAAAAACACTTTTGATATTCCTATTCTGTTGAGGTGTTTGACTAAGCAGTCATTTCCTGTACTCACTCTGAAATTGAGTATAATATGAAGGGAAAAAACACATAAACTTCAATTATTTCCACTGAATGCTGATTCGATTCATAAAATCTGTCTGATTACCTACCTCAGAAATCAGTTTTTACTGTGAATAACTCCCAGGAAAAGTGGTGTAGGTTATTGTATAACCAATTAGCCACAGCTTCTGACTGAACTCTGTCCATGGCTGAAAGCCTATATATATCAAGACAGAAAAGAGTAAAAACTGGTAACAAATTAATTTCATTTTTTAATTTTTTCTCTGGGATAATAAAAATCTATAACTACTAATTGTTTTTAACGGATATAATTTTTATATTGAATTGCTTCTTCGCCGAGATAAATTAATTACAGTGAATTGTTCATTAGTAAGAATAGATTAACTCCCCCCGAATATTATCTAATATTGAAATAGTTTTCCTACCAGTATTTTCTTTTTTCCGTCTCGCTTTCAGGCCTGACTCTATCAAATATTTTATTATTTAATTTAACTCACTCTGCTATGTTCTGTTTCAACAAAATATTCTCATGCTTTTCTGAAGATAATTCAAGAAAAATGGGACACTGTTAAATAAATAAGTCAGTACACTTTTTTGTCAATTGATCTACATTTTCATTGTCATCAGTTCGCGTGCAGGTCGTCGGGCTACCAAAGCAGGGGAGCCATCCCCTCTGCAGAGGATCAAAATTGTGATGACATGTCTTCTGATCATCCTCAGAGATGTATCCCAGATCGTCGCCAATAGCCCATTGTGCAGCTCTAGTGCGACGTAAATGAACTACAAAAACATTGTCATCAGTTTCTCAAGAAATTCAATAAATTCTCTTTCTTTTTTGCAGTTGTTTATCAGTTTTCACATATTTAAAAATAATATATTGATTTATGATATTTGATTAATAGGATGACCATTTGTAAGAAGGTCCGAAAACAAGATTGACTATGATATACTATATAATATGTATAAGATTTATCAGTTTCATAATAAAAATAAACACATAAAAGAACAATAAATCTTAAATCGAATTATTTATGTTAATGTAAATATTTTATACATTAAATGCAAAACAAGTTGTGTGATAACATTGCAAATTACGTAAGATACGCTAACAGAGTGGTCGAAAATAAATCCTCAAATTACACCTTTTAAATTAAAATTTTTAATCAAAACTACTTTGCATTTACAAGTTTAGCAAACTATCTTTCAGAAACATTCAAAATAAAATCAAAATATTAGTTGTAAATGCTTTATTTTTAAACTTCGCTATGTTAAACCTATGTAAACCTTGCCACTCAGGTTTCCACAATTGATTGTTTGCTTACAATCAATGCCCGTGCCCCATTCGTTGCTATTGACAACAGATTTAAGCACAGTTACAATGAACAATTAAAAGTTATTTTAAATACACAATCTGTCCCGCAGTGGACTGATCGTTAAGACACGGTTCCCAGCAGTTCACCGAAGTCAAGCATCACTGGCTGCGGTCAGTGTGCGGGTGNCCATTGTGCAGCTCTAATGCGACGTAAATTAACAACAACAGCAACAACAGCCAACAAATACACAAACTACTGCAATGTAAGCTAAAAGCAAAATATATGTATAAAATAAAACCATGAAAATGATGTCTGTCCTTAAACATAACTAAAATAAATAATAAAAGAAATGTTTAACATCTGTTACGATTAGGTTATTTAATAGTAATGAAATATTTTATTGAAAATTGAATGTGTTCGTATATTTTATCATATTTATTTTTATACTTAAGTGTTGTTCTGAGAGCAGGATGTGGGCGGTAAAACAATTAACATCATTGAAGACGTGACGTTCCACATTCAAGCGGAATATTTTTAAAAATATTATGCTACAAAATAAATAAATAAAACTTTAAAATGTGAAACCTTTTTCAAGGTTTTTTCTTTTAATCTGAACACACAATTTAAATTTTAGAATAAAGATAAAAAATATTTTAAAGAAAATATTGAGAGAGGTTTGCGCAGGGGTGGCTATAAGTTATACCATTCGAGTTGGTTCCCTTCTTATTTTCTTTTCTTCGGTTTTTTTACTAGCTACTAACATGGCTAAACCGTGGTAGTCACAGGTATATACTGGAAAACTTTCTGAAATAAATTTGCAGCCTTTATGAGTTCTGTGTTTGAGTAAAGAAAATTTTAATTAGGGAAAAAAATAATGTAAACCCATGTAAAATTAAGCTGGGAAATTGGCCGAAGCAGGCTTTTCAGTTGAAATTCTTCAATGTTAATTTTTTGTGAAATGTAGAAAAATATAAATTTTGGGATGATAATTAAGCAGAAACTAACACTAAGGCTCACTAATATTCGAAACGGTTTTTTAAAAAACTTGCTAAAGATGAGCATAATCTTCAGTGCACAATACAGAAAAGTAGGTGAAATAACATTAAGAATGAGTCACACGAAGTAAATAAATCATAATACATATCCATCCAATGAGAAAGGTATAGTAAATAGATTCAAACTATATCAGTGGTATCATCTGTTAAACGAAAGAACAGGGGTATTTCTATATCAATACTTTTTCATGTCAAAAGAATTTTAAACTTGCTAAAAAATTTTTAAAAATCCAGAAATTTATCCGGGAATGGCTTGGTTGCACTTTAAATTTATCCACCTCTGAAATAAGATCTAAAATTTTGAAAGAATACTTACTAAGTTATATTTCTCGCATGCCACTCATTTGTTATTTATTTCACCTGCATTTTTCTCTATTTCTTGTGCACTGAAGATATTGCATTAAAACTTGATGCTACTTCAATTATTTGAGCATAATATTCTTTCATATTTCATTAGTCTAATATATACAGGGGTCTGTCTAGGCCAAATTTACTAACGTTTATCGGTAACTTCACAAATTCAACTTTAAGAAATTTCACAAAATACTTTTCGATAAATCCATATTTTTGTGTTGATTAATAAAATTTTTAATTTTTCATAAATTATGCCTAAATTTTCACAAAATAGTCACCTCTCAGAAAAGCCTCGACAGATCCCTGATATATTTATATTGTTAATTTTCTTTTTACTTTCATTTAGGTTTTCTTAATGTGAGTGAATGATATGACCCAAATTTTTCTAAAGGATTATTAAAGATTTCGATGAAAGATTTACTCTTAATTTTATAAGCATGGAATTTGCTGATTATATCAAAGCACCTAATATAGAAGGTGTTACTCTACATAGACCTTTTCATGCTCCACTGGAAGGAACATTATGCATCACAGGCCATCATTTCATTTTATCATCAAGGTCAAAGAATGAAGAACTATGGGTAACTATAGATTCATAGTTGCTTTTCATAAAAAATATTTGGGGGCTAAGCCCCCTGTCTGCTGCTGCTCATCAACTCCCATAATTGCTTCACAATAACTGTTGTTTCTTCACATAAAACAGCTTTTCTACTAAAGTTAAATTATTCTCTCAACATATATGTACTCAAAGGAAATTCTGTTTGCTTATGCTTGTGGCTCCATTTTCCACCTCTAAATATTATTATCTATTAGTATTATAAATATTTAGATCGATTGATGAACTTAAGTAATTTTTTAGGTAATCATTTTTAAAATAACATTTATATTGCTGTGACATTATATTGTTTAAACAAATTTGATGAATTCACAACCTTAATTTAATATTTTCGCGTAACAATCGGGTGGATATATTAAATACTATTTTTGTTTGCATCTCATTGTACTTGAATCTCTAATTCATTTAACAGATCTCTTTAATTGTATTTTATAACAGTAAAACTTTATCTTAAAATAAAGTACAGAATTAATTAATTAAAAGCATAATAATAGTAGTAGAGGAAAATAATTTCAGGGATATACAAATATTTATGGAAAAACAGTACCTTTATGACTATTATTAGTTTTATGCTGATGACAACCAAACCAATATGAATAGAATGAGGGAAAACTGGATCCTACCACATGATTTTCTGTCCAATAAAAAATGCACGGGCAACAATGGCGAATTGCAATACCATCATTAGATTTTTATATATAGTAAAATTACGCATATTTAAGTGTAAATTATGTCTTTTTTGAAATACTGATAAAAAGAAAATCTCCTTCATTTATATTAATGCATAGCAGTTATAAGTAAAAATATCAAGATATTAGAAAGGCACATGTATTCAGATTTGCATGTTCATTTATTTTCATATTTTTTATACTTCTCTTTTTGCTTCTTAAAAGGTATTCACTATTTTTAGTAGTTAGTTCGTATGAGACTGGTAAACAAGTTGGTTTCAAAAGTTTTAATTATTTAGAAAAATGTATGCTGTTTATTCTCATGATTGAAGATCTACAGGTGTGACAAATTATCTTAATTTTTCATGATTTATATCAGCATAGCTGCTAACTCTACTGAATTTTCTTGTAGAGGTGTAGTCTAAATCTAGTAGTCTACTGAATTTTCCAGTAGACTACTAGATTTTGCCAGTTTCTCCTGGGTTACTGGTTTAATGAAAATTCTCCTGATTTTTAAGCAGTTTTGAAAATTTCTTAAAATTGAGTAAGTTTCCTAAAAAATTCCCTATTGAAATAGAATTTTCACTTAGATTATTGCTTTCTTGAATACTATTTAAATAAGTATTACTAATACATGATGAAGCGAGCCTCATGTATAAAAATCAATTTAAAACTTTTTTTTGTTCTAAAATGTTCAGTTTAATCTTATTCAGAACTCCCTTTTTAAATTTATTAAAAGAATTTAACTATTTTTGATGAATTAAGTGACTATTACTATTCAAAATTATGAGCAAACATAATACATAACATTTCAAGTTCATTTAATATCAATCATAACTGGAAAATATAGCAGTTTTTCTATTTTGTTGACAGTAAAAATCCCTAAAATTCCCTTTATCATGAAATTTATATTATTTCATAAAATCTACTGGATTTTTTCCTATCCATGTTGGCAGTTATGTATCAGTGAATTTAAAAAAAAATATAAAAGAGATAAATCACTGATTTTTTTTTAAATAAGTGATTTTTGTATAGGAGCCATGTATGCTTGAAAATCCCTTTATGTTATAAAAATTCCCTTTATTAATTAAATTCCTTTATGTAGGACAAAATAAATGTCTGCTCTTACTTTAGATGCTGCACAAAATGGTTGATTGTCTTGAGAAAAAACTCAGTTTTTGCACTGGCACCATCATCCTGAAATGTAAAGATTTTCGAATATTGCAGTTGGATGTACAAGGGATAGACGAGTGTAACAATGTTGCTGCTTCAATTGAATATTTAATGAATTTAGGTAAATACATCATTTGCGTGTCAGTAATTAGTTTAATCATATATTTTTTGTCTTGTGATTTACACTGTTTTATTGCAATTTATTCACTAATCATTTTTCAACTTCATTCTCTAAATATAAAAAGACCTATGCAAGAGAAGATCATTAAATGTAACGGATAATTACATTTAAAAGTTTAAAACATAATTGTTATTAATTAGTTCATTGTATAGATTTAGAGAATTAAAAATGAAAATATTAATCAAAGATGAATAGACTATTCATTCATTTTTTTGCTCCTCTTAAACACAGGTATCTGAGATAGCCATTTGGTTTAAAAAAATAAAGTTTAAAATCGGCATTAATATACAATTTTGTAATAATATACATTATTTTATTATCATTTAATATTGAAAATTCTCTTATTTATTTATTTTGTTTTTTCCCATTAGCAAAATGGGTCTTGGTTCGCACACTTTTCAACTGTGTTCAAGAGTAATAGTAAACAATGCGTTGCTATGGCGACCACTGCGGTTTTTCTTTTCATTTTTAATTTATTTACATAATAATAATTTAAGGTATTTTTATATTCTTTTTATTATTAATGTATAATTACTGGCTTGCCAGTGATTTTAATATAAATATGAGTGCTGAAGAAGGGAAAGTATTTTGTGACGTCTTGAAACATGTGCATAGGCAAGATATGAAAATCAATCCGATAACAAACATCAATTGTTGACAGTTTTTGCAACCCATGATTTGAAATGTTTAACGGAGTCAATCCAGAAAGCATTTGACCAATGGGTAGCCAGCGATCGTAATAAGGCGATCACAGCTTTTTATTTTTTTTTATTGCAATATGATTTCAACTATTATACATAGTGTGACAGAGTTTTTAACTTTTTTTTTCAATTTTGTCTGTGATAACTGGTAAAGTTCTTATCTTTTATAGAAAATCCGAGATCTTTTTATCCGTTTTTCCATCGAGCTATGTTTGAAATGCTGGAGGATGGGTGGACTTCATTTCGTCCTGAAATAGAAAATAGTAAACTCTTACAAAACAAAGAGGAATGGAGAATAAGTTTTGTCAACAAAGATTATTCGGTATTTTGCTCTGTTTCTTTCATTTTACAGTTTTGGTATAATTTTTTTTATGAGTATGATGAACTTTTTTATTTTGTTTTGATAATATTTGAAAAACAGGCGTAACTTGTTGGATTACAGCAGTAGCTGGAAATTACTGTTACTTTGTTGTACTTTGCCCAAAATAAAAAAAGTTAATTGTGTAATTTTCAATCTCGCAGGTTGCATTTTTATGTAGTTGGACTCAATCTTAATAGTTTGAAGGCCTAATCTTAAATATGCAAATTAATTTGTGCATTCAATATTTTAAGTTAAGAAATCAGGCAAACAACAAAAAAAAACCTACTGTTTAGATAAACTTCTTTTTTTAGTTTTTTTTTTATGGTGGATTTAGATTTCTGACCCTCAAAAATGTAGAAGCTAGCTGGAAAATAAAGTCCCAATAGTTTGGTCAAGAGTGGTCGAGTTTGGTCAAGAGTGGTGGAAAGTTTGGATATTAATTTTACTTTTTGCGTAATTTGTTATATCTTGGGAATTTTTTAAGCAAATCTGAAAACAGAAACAAATCCTTTTATTATAATTATAAAATTTGGTTACCCAAAGATAATTCCATGTGAAAATTAATTCCTAATAATTATTTGTTATTTTATTTATAGCTATCGCAAATCAATATATTTGGGATATCTAAGTAATAAGCTAAATTAAGTACCAAACTGTTTACTAGTAAAGATGGTTAATGTTTTTTTTAGCAAGGTTCATTCGTTTCTTTTTTATTCTTAGATTTATAAATTTAATTTCAAAAGAACAGTACCACACATAAATAGATTAAACAATCATATTTATAAATGATAATCATTCATAGGTGTGTTTAAACTCTTTAAAAAAAGTTTTCTTTTAAAAAAAAACAATTAGTATTGGTAAAATAAAATTGTTTTCTTAATAATTAAGAAAATTTCTTAATTTTGAATTACTTTTCTAGGAATCCTTACTCATTTGTACAGTATAATAAATGAAACATCCTAAATAACTTTTTATCTAATGATGGAATTTTCACTTGCTGGAATCAATCTTAATGGTTCGAGAGGGCTGTTTCAAAAATTCTAATTATATAATGCAAACGATATTTAAAGTTGCACAATCATACACAAAAGCATGCTTTCTCTGAATTGTCCAAATCCAGATCCGCATTCTTTGACAGGATATTCGTTTACTATATTAGACATGTGTTACTGGGTATTGACATCTAATGCATCACTTCAATGCAAATCATAAAAACATGAAAAAGTGTAAAATTTTTATTTAAAGTATTCAGACCAAAATATTCTAACTGGCCTGTCATAAATCACAATACTATTCAAAAGAAAGAAATTTCTTGCACCTACCAAAATTGTAAAATTTTTTTATTATCTAGTACTCTTCAATACGATTCCCTGTTATTACGACCTATACTTAAAGTTCTGTTTGCCATTTCATTGATTCAGAGCCATTCATTCCAATATAACGACTGAAGCCGAGTTTACTTTTTATTTTTATTTTCAAGAAACAAATTTAGAACTAAAATACTTCCATTGCCAATGACTCAATTGTTTGAAGAAAGAAAACTATTTTATTTTTGATGTTATAGCCCATTAAACTTGGCTTATTTAAAATTCCCATTGAAGAAAGGAAGGTACATAATCCCCTAAGTTCTTATATTAGATGTGTAACTTTTGGCCAAAAATTTGATGAAATATAATTTATTGTTGTTGTTGTACTTATGCTACTTACAAATGCCAGAAAGCCTGCTTGAAATCAAGCGAATTTTTAAGGCAGAGAGTTCGTTTCTTGTTTTTTCAGTGGCCAAGAATATGACTTCAGCCACACACACACAGGCATAGCTCATTTTACAGAGAGGTCCCAATCATGCTCCATACATTCATGCTCAGGTCGTAATTTTGATCTCAACCAAAGAAAGACCAATCAGTTCTCCCAGAGGTATTGATTTGTTGTGGGAGACTGTGTGACTCCGACAGATTTAACAATACATACGCTTCCGAGATGTAATCTCCAGTTTTAACGAACAACCGGGTTATCCCGGCTCAGGTTATTGTTAATCAAAAGAGGTATACAGTTTTGTGAAAATTAGTTCTCTACCGATTGTAGACAACCTCACTTTACAAGGGTTCGCCAAGTGGGCCCACTTTGAAAAAACCCACCCGGGTTTTATTGGGTGGACTCATCTTGAAAAAACCCACTTGGTGGGTTTTTACACAAATTGTTTTTTTTCTTTTTAATTTGGTTGAAAAAGAATTATCTCCTAATGCTATCATTGGGACACATCGTGGAAGTTAACAAATATTTTAGAAATGTGCATCAAGCACATGGATGGGTAAAAGAAAAAAACTGCTTGATGCCCCATTTACCAAATGATACTAGATGGAGTTCATATTGTGACCTCGTAGAAACTTTTGCCAATAATTATCATAAATATCAAGAGATTGCTCTTGAACATCAAAATGAATCTAATAATAATATGTCAAAAATATTAAATAATGTTGGGCTTTACCAATAAACTATCGATTTGGAAAAAACGATATCAATTGTTTCTGAAGCTTTAAAAAGGCTTCAATCAGAAAACATTTCAATTTCAGAAGCTGTTATGAATTAACTTACTATCGTAATATATCTTACTATTGGAACCCCATAAACATTTTGTAAAAAGATTACATTAAGCTGTTCAGCCACCTCATTTATTAGCATATGCATCCTGGATCCCGAAACAAGGGGACAATTTTTAAATGATGAACATGAGCAATTAGCAGAAAGCTGTCTTTCTAAGCATCATCCAAAATTTCTGCCAGGTGTTATGGCATTCAAAATTATGGATCCTGAATACTTTCCAAAATCAATGATGCTTAACACCGTTATTCCGCAGTTTTCATAAAAAAATAGTGGAAAATTATGGCAAAAAAAAATGAAAAAAATTCCAAGTTTCCACACAATTTCTGCCAATTCTTTTTTCTTTACACTCAGCACCAGCATTCTCTGTCCCTATCGAAAGATACTTTTCAACTTTCAGTTTGGTGTAAAGTAAACTACGAAATAGATTAGGAATAGATAAAGCTACAAAACTCGTAAAAGTGTATCACCATCTGAGAGAGAAATGTAGACACTTTGAATCTGCAGTATAATAATAATAATAAATTAAAAAAATGGATCTTTTTTTAAGTTAACTCTTAACATCTGCTGACAATTATTAACTATTTGGAGAAAGTTTATCACCATTAAAAAACTGTTAAAAATTAAAATATTACTTGTAAGATTTTTTAAATATTATTTTCAAGATTTTATTTGAATATAATTTATTTTGTTTCTTTTAATCATGTTTAAAAATATTTAAGACAAATGAAAAAACATTTTCTATTAAGTGATACGTTGAACAACATTTAACAAAGTTTTATTTTCTGGTTTTAAAATAATATGCTAAAACTTTTTATGCATGCTTTTTTTGTAATTTTAAGATTAATTTCTTTTTTGAAATAATAAAGTTAAAATTTATCTAAAAATGCAGTCCTTTTTCTAAGGTTAAATATTTGAAAAATGGGACAAGTAACTGATACTCTTTATAATTATACGTAATTTTAATTTCACTTTCTATTAATCGTGTTATAAAATCATGGAAGACCATTAAATATTTATTCCAGTTTAATTTTATTAAAGGTAAAAATCAGATGAAATTTTAGTTCTTACTGATTGTAAATTTGTAATAAGTAATATATATATTATACGCATAAACAACAAACGAAAACAAAAAGATCAATAAACTTGTTCTTTTGATATTACTGTTGCATATATATTTTATAGTGCTTCAGTTAAAAATTGTGAAACGTTATGTATTTAAGAATAAAGATTCAAACATGTATTAGTGATAGTGCATTCTTTAAACTTATTTTAATATATATATTTTATATAAACTTTTTTGGATTAATTTCTATTTTTAAGCTTATACATCACTATTTAATAAATAAAAATATTTTCAAAGTAAGTAGTTTATGAGCACTAAATGAAAAAACTTAATTACCACGGATTTTTTCAATAAAACCTGGACGGGTTGGGGGTTTTTTCAAAAATCCCTGAGTTTTTTCAAACCCTGCACTTTACGATGTCCATTCTTGTTTAGATATCATTAGTCATTTTATCAAGTCTTGACTATTAAAAATTCCTTTTCAATGCTTTTTCAAATTAAAAAATGCTTTTTGAATGTTTAATTGTAATCATTATATTCAGAGCAAAATTTAAAATTTTGTATTTTTTCTGCAAATGTACATTTTTCAAGTAACCAAAAATAAAATTTTCAGATTTTGGATATAGCAATTTTTACTTAACGTGCATGTTAGTCTGATGCACGTGTTGTTACAGTTGTGAGCAAAAGGTTAAGAATATCATTCCCCCACTCCTAAAAAAAGTTATTATTCTTTTTACGAAGGGAAGAAGCAGCATTCCCTTTTGCATTAAAGCCTTATTTTTTGTTCAATGCTAATCAACTAAAAAATTGTTATGACTTAAAAATTATACAATAAAACATGCAATTATTATAAATTTAGTTTTTCATTGCATGAACAATTTTAATGTAGGGCATTTTCGTAAACCTCTGCCAACAAGAGGAACTAAAATGGAAAAATGTTCTGGAAAAGGCTTAGGCTGACTATTGTGCTGATGTTGATACTTCTGAACTTGATAATTGAAAAATTTTGAACCACCAACTATTTAAGTAGTAAAATTTTTTTAAAAATAAAATAAGTAAACAAGTTTTATAGTTGTATGCAAAAAATTTTAAATTAGCACAACTAGTTCTTAAAGTGTTGACTAAAATCGGATGACACAATATTAATGGGGCCAACTTTTCATAACTATTCTATCTAACGTAATGGGATTATATTTTCCATACTGTTGAGATAAAGGTCTTATCCAGTATTCAGACAGCTTGCCGTAGCCTAAAATATTGTAACCACAAGTTGGTTACCATATTTGAGCTTTCACCCTTAAGTCATTAAGATTGCTTATTATTAAGTAAAAAGCTAATGATCTGATCAGAAGTTATTCAGTGTTCTTTCCTTCTGATGGAACATAGCATTATTTTTAAAGTTGCTTAATGCAACTATTTTTTTTTTTAGATGTTAGGTGTGTCTCAGTTATCCTTAACAAGTAATTGTTTCATTAATTGAAATGTGTATATATTTTAATATTTAGGTATGTCCCACATATCCTCAGCAAGTAATTGTTCCTAAGAATATTGATGATGAAACATTGAGAAAAGTGGCAGCTTTTCGTCAATTTGGCAGACTTCCTATTCTAAGTTATTACCACAAGTCAAGCAAAGTAGCCGTCTTTTACTTTTTCACTTTCTCATTGAATTTGTTTTCCGGCATTTTTTTAACTGAAACAACTGTCCTTATTTTTGCAATAGGCTGCTTTACTGCGCAGTAGCCAGCCGATGGTCGGAGCTAATAACAGGCGCTGTAAAGAAGATGAAAGATTGTTAAATACTGTCTTGGGATCAGGAAAAAAAGGGTACATCATTGACACCAGATCGCAGAATATTGCTCTTTTAGCTAGGACCAAAGGTACACATTTTGAACCAGAATATTAAATTGATAATTTCAAATCTACTGAGTATCAGAGAAAATTCTGTATCAAATCACACATTTTGAAGCATAATAGTAAAATTATGCTTTTTTCTAATTAATTCTGCAGAACCCTAGGTCTCAGTAGTAAAGTTAAAGGGGTTCGGAGAGTTGGGACTTTTTAAATAAGTATTTCTTAATATTTTTGAATCCTGTTTTGAATCAATTAATAATAAAAAATGTTTTTTTTTTAATTAAAAAATATGTAGTTTCTTTTATAAGAATATAGAGTAAAACCTCTTGGGAGCGACCACTCTCCATTCCACTGTAAAATGCTCGATATTAGAGGTTGGTTGTTCTTAGAGGTTACCTCCATTGCCTTCAAAATTGTTATCAAAGGTACGTAATTTTTCTCAAGCGATTTTAATTTTAGTCATCGGCATTTTCTTGGTGCGGAAATGCTACTACTGTTGGCTCCATGAAAAGGCGGATTTATTAATAAAATTTAACGTTCATAAAAATGATCCCAACTCATATAATTATGTGCAAAAACAAATTTACCGATTATGAATAATAAAGCTATTTTAAATAAATAAACTATGTTTTTTGTTTAAGTTTGCTTTTAATTTCACATCATAAAAATTAGTTAGCTTTAAAAGATGAGAAGAGGTTTGTTTGTTTGAGATGATTGTGTTTTTTTAAATTATTTTTTTTTTCTAATTTAACTTTCCACTCTAAAAGTAAATCACTGATAGCATTGTGTATAGTGCGCTCTGACTGCAACATGAGGTTGTATCGTCAAAAATAGCTGTATAAGTAAGTGCACAAATATTTTGAATATATTTTAATCTACCTATTTGTTTTGTGAAATTTTTTTGTTATCATATTTTTTGGTGTTTTCTTATTTGACCTTTTCCGCACTTGGTGGTTTTAATGCTCTCTCTTAAAGGTTTTCTTCAGCGCAAAGTCAACGGAAAAAATTCTGTTCCTCCCAAATGTGGTCGTAAGTAGAAGTGGTCGCTACATGTTGGTCTTTTTTGGAGGTTTCACTGTATTATATAAACTATAAAGAGTACATGCATTTATTAAAAAGTATGCAGTAGTATTCCCCATCACACTTTTTGAGTCAAAATAAAATAACTAAATTTCTTAAAGTATGTTTCTGTATGTAACCATTTTCAAAACTTATGGCAGTTCTTTTTTAATTTTCCTTTCAGTGGAAACCATAATTTGGCTTATTTTATTCAGATACATTCACAATTTTCTTTAATTATATACTTTATTTATAAAGTCTGGGTTCTGATGAAAAAAAAATTGATCATTTAAGTTCCATAGTGAAAAAAAAAGGGAATCAGTTGTCTAGAATGTAAGGATTTCAAGCTAATTATTTTTATGATGGGTTTCTTAATGCAGATTATGATCAATGTTAATTTTTTCAGGTGTTGTTTAATTTTGAATTAAAATATGAATTTTTGGTAAATTCAAGCCTACTAGGCTCTAATGATTTGAGTAATGCACGATTGACATCGTTTATAAAATGTATGTGGTTTCAGCAACATTTATTGTATGAATTAGATGTGATGGAATGAGTCATTATCTTGCAGGTGGGGGTTTTGAACCTGATGTCCATTATCCTTTGTGGAAGCGTATGCACAAACCTATAGATCGATATTTTAACCTGTTGGAATCCTTAAGTAAACTGGTTGAAGGTATTTTGAATATTTTTCCTCTATTTAAAGTAAATTGATAAAGTAATTTCAGAATTGATCTTTTTTAGTACTTTTTTTTTAAAATGACAATATATTACAAAAGCTGTGCTCTTAAGTAGACCTCCTTTTACATTTTTTGGTCTTTCAAGTTTATTTTACTTGCATTTATAACCTTATTTTTTTATCTGCTTTTTTTTCCACAGTTGAAAAATTTAATGTGTTAGAGTTATATTTCTTCTGATATTTTAAAATACTTTAAATTTACAGTAAAAAAAGTATGCTTCACATCTATTTTTATTTTTTTCAATATGCTTTTAATGTGTTGTATAATTATAGTTTAAAATAAAAATTAGAGGGTTTTCTCTTTAAAATTATCAAACAATTGCACCATTTCACTCACTTTTCAAAGTCATAATGGAATATTTTAATGTTATGATTTATTGTGAGGGAAGAATCTTATATCAGTACTAAAATTTTGGGAGTGTTAATCTAAATTTTTTGACTGACAATTGTGAAAGTAAATCATTGACTTATGATTTTTGTTCCTTTAAAATGTTCACTAATTTTTCTCAATGTCATTTATTGTGTATTTATTTATACATAATATTTATAATATTAATAATAAAACATTATAGTAATTCAAAAGTGGCAAAATTTCAAACGTAGGAACTGTCCATTAATATATAAATGTTTTAAACATCTGTTCTACAGCATGTGTTGTTTCAAAATTTTAGGGAATATTCTATTTAGAAGACTTGTCAGATATGCTCTATTTTTGAAATTTGTTAACTACTTATTTTTTTGACAGCCTGCAATGACAGCAATTGCAATGTTGATAAGTGGCTGGCACGCTTAGAATCTTGTGGATGGCTCACAAATGTGAAAGATGTGTTAACTTGTGCTTGTCTGGTCGCACAATGTTTAGATCAAGATGGTGAGTGAAAAATTTTTATTTAAAAGAACAGAAAGAAAATTATTAAAATCATATTCTTACCAAAATATTTTCAAATTTATCAGTTAGTATAATTAGGTTCAACCAGGGCTCAAAAATTATATTAGTGGACATGCTAAATTAGGCATGTATTTTTCACTTTTTACATGCTTGACTGGGCATGTAAGTATTTAATTCGAAGGAAAAAAACTGTAAAATACCTGTTAAAAATTTATGGTTAACTTGTTGAAGTACATGCATTTTTAAAGTTTCATTGGGGCATGTATTTTGTAGATGGCCCAGCAGAGTACATAAGAATTTTAATATTTTTTGTTAGTTTCTTTATTTACCCATTACCAGTTTTTCTAACTTTTTGAGTCAGAGAAACCTTAAAAGAGCAAGGCACTATTGTGCAAGAGAAACTTTTCACGACCAATTCTGTTTCACTTCAATCGATATTTTAAAATAGTTAGTTTAGAAAAATGACTTCACGTAAGCTATGAAATTTCTGATGCTGAAAATATGTTTAAAAAATCTTTAAAATGCAAATGAATTATTGCAGAATTTCTTCCCCCTACATAATCGTAATTGCACGTTGATAGTTTAATATAATTTTAGCATTTGAAACTTCATGGTTTACTCTGATTACCAGGTTAAGTTTAGTAGTTTACCTGATTAGAAACTTATAGTTAGGCTTACCCGAATTCACTGATCTTTAAATTACTTATGTTGGTAAAAAAGAATTTGACTTGAAGGGTTTCTCTCATGGTATAGAGTCCTCATGATATTATTTTAAAGTTCTTCTGGATCTTGAAACCTCTCAGGAACGCAGTTTTGCCTATATAATATGCGATTAAGATTTAATAATTTTTTTCTTTCTATTCTAGGTTCATCTGTTTTGGTGCATGGTGCGGAAGGCACAGATGCAACTTTAACAGTATGTGCTCTGGTTCAGATTATTTTGAACCCAGATTGCCGAACAGTTCACGGATTTGAAGCCCTCATAGAACGAGAATTCATTCAAGCAGGGCACCCTTTTAGTATAAGATGCCAGTGCAATGCATATGCATCAGCAAACTCTCGGACGAAAGATCAAAGTCCAACTTTTTTAATGTTCTTGGACTGTGTATATCAGGTAGGAGACAGATGAGTGTCTTTAAAGTTTCAATTTTGTCCTTTCAAAAATTAAGAAAGAAATGTTTTTACAATGCACAAAGTGAAAAAATATTCACCCCGAATAACTTTTTCATTTAATGATCAGATTTTCGCAAACGCTCGATTTTATCTAGAAAACTTTAAAAGTAAATTTTATTTCAATTATAAAATGCGTTTATCCAAAGATAGTTCCATGTAAAGAAATACCTTGAATTGTAAGATATACAAATTTTTACGTTGTTTTAAAGATGTTAATTTTAAAAATCCCAAGTACAAAATTTTATGAAATTAGTTGAATAGTTTCTTAGTTATCTAATTATAAAATTTGTATATTTAAAAATTTGTTCAAATTTTGTATTTTATCATTTAAAATTATGTTTTTTTAAAATAATGTAGAAATTTTCTTGCTATTCAAAATATTTTCCACACCTTTATAAAAATATAAATAGCTATTAGAAATTTTTTTGTTACATGGAACTATATTTGGACAAATGAAGTTTATTAAGTGCAAAAATTTTTAAATTCCATGAAAAGTTTTCAAGATGTAACGAAATATGCACAAAAGTAAATTAATATTGAGCAGTCCAAACTTTCGACTGCTTCTTTCTATTGGAACCATTTTTTCCAGGCCATCCCCTATTTTTTGTTCGTCAAAATTCTGAATTCACCTAAAAAATATGCTTATTGAGGGCTATGATGAATCTCTAAAGAATCAATCTCTTTGATCATTGAACATTTCAATAAATATCCTGAAATGTTTGTGATTTTCTAAATTTTTGTTCAAGTTAGCCGGAAGAATAAATATTAATTGTCTGAAAAAGAATTAAAGAAATTTCAAATTCAAAAATTATGTTATATGCCATAAAACAAAGTAAATGATTAAAATGTACGACAAAGTTTTCAGAGCGCATCAAGTAAGATAATCTAATCCCAGTATTAGAGACAACTACCCTTAATTTGATGGCATAAAATGATGGATAGACGGAAGAATAAATATTAATTGTCTGAAAAAGAATTAAAGAAATTTCTAATTCAAAAATTATGTTATATGCCATGAAAAAAAGTAAATAATTAAAATGTACGAAAAAATTTTCGTAGCGCATCAAGTAAGATAATAATCTAATCCCAGTATTAGAGACAACTACCCTTAATTTGATGGCATAAAAGCATTCGATGCAGGAGAAATATATAAAAAGCTCTTATCTCTCCTCATCACTAAATCATACTCTACTGTTTTTTTACAAGAGAATTCTCATATTTAGCTACTACATAACTATTTTCCATATTACTTCTCTTTTTTTTTTAAAAAAAAAAATCTGAGTTTTTTTAAAAAATGTTTTTCTTTTTCTTTTAACCCCTTAACGCACAGATTTCTTGGGAAAAAAAACGGCCAAAAAATTTTTTTATTTAATTTTATATTATTAATTAAATTATATTTAATTTTTATTTTTTATATGTAAAAAAGCACACTTTAGAACACAGAAAACACGCATTCTCGATTATATTCGAGTGTGAAAAATTATAGCAGCATAAAATACAATGCCGCTCGTATTATCTCGAGTGCACACAGTTTCGCCTGTTTGCCACGCTCGAATTAACTCGAACGTGCAAGTTAAGAGGTTACACTGCCAAAACTATTACCAATCATATATCTGTAAACCCATGTTGATATTATACAAATTTCTCCCATTGGAGAATCATCACCCTTAAATTATCCTTAAGTCTGGCGCAATATTGTCCTTAATTTTTTTTTTTTTGGACTTTCAACCCTGATACTGGTTCTTGCTTGCTTTTACCTTGCTAGTGACGCCCTCTTTTTATTCTTAAAATATTTTTTCTACTTCATTTTATATTTTTTACCATGACCATTTGTTGGCTTTGACCATTACTTTGAGAGCTTGATTTATATAAATCATTGTGATCTCGTCACCATCCTTCATCTCTCAAATAACATTACACGAATGGTTTAATGCAGTGTTTCCCAAACTTATGACTTTTGTGTACCCTTTCTAAATTTTTCGTAACGCTGTGTACCACTAATAAAAAAATTTATGTATTTTTTACTATAAAAAATTGTGCAAAACTTAAAAATCACAACTGGCTGTTGACACCAGTAATTATTAACTGTTAAGTCTGCGAAATATAGCCAATAGAAAAATACGTAATCGTAAATTTTTATGGCTAGCTTTGTTTTTAAATAAATTTTTTTGAAATTTTCGTTTGTTGCAAGATATTTCACATAAGAAGGCGTACCCCCGCTAAACTGTTCACGTACCCCTGGGGGTACGCGTACCACACTTTGGGAAACACTGGTTTAATGGATAGGAGAGGAGAAATTTATGAAGTTATGGATATATAATGAAGATTTATAACCACCCTATATATTTATGAATGGTCATTACAGAACATCCTATATACCATTTTACATTGTTTATATATTNACTCTTCGTTGCTCATCTACAATAAATCATTGTGATCTCATCACCATCCTTCATCTCTCAAATAACATTACACGAATGGTTTAATGGATAGGAGAGGAGAAATTTATGAAGTTATGGATACATAATGAAGATTTATAACCACCCTATATATTTATGAATGGTCATTACAGAACATCCTGTATACCATTTTACATTGTTTATACATTTTATTTATTTGTATTTACAGAAGTTTATTTTTAATATCATTTGTATATACAGTTGTTTTGCTAAATTATATGTTATTGTGCTGTTTATAATTAATATACGCAATCCAAGTGTCCAATAATTCTAAACGTATAGTATTTTAAGTATATATATAACTGGTCTGTCTATAAAAGCAAAATGTTACTTTTCAAAGACTAAAAATGTTTTAAAACTTTTGAGCATTTTCTTCAAATAAACACATCTTTTCTTTATTTGAATGCGTTAATGTGCAATGCGTTACTGGCAACAACGTTTCTCATTATTTTTAATTTTAACTATAAAAAATGCATGTTTATTAAAAGTAAATCTGACATATTTCATCTGTAAATTGATTTTTATGATAAATAGTATACAGGGGTGATTATATTCTGGGAGTACTCAGGAATTCCAGATTTTTTGTATTATCCTTCCGGGTCTAAAAATTAGAAGCAATTAGATTTTTCTGGGAATATCGCGGAATTCCCATTGGTTCTCGGACTATCTCTAATCAAAGTTTATAATCTGATGAAATTTTGGTGAAAATCTTCAATCTAATATCAAATTTTGAAACTTTTGCTTTTTCCCACTAACAAGACGTTAACATACCCGTGATTCTTCCGCCAATTTATTTTTTCTGGTTTGGCGGATTTTTGCCATTTGGAACTGTGCTGGAATCTGCCAATATTCTTCTCCCATCTGCCTTCGATTATTATTCCGCGCTGTGAATATCAAACATCGATTTTTTTATTTACCTAATTTAAAAATTACACGTTGCAATTTATATTGACGTGGTTTAAAAATTTTACGCTGTGATTTAAAAATCAGATGTTGCGATTCATATTCAGGCAATTTTATAATTTAATATTGTAATTCGTATTCACGTGATTTTAAAATGCAATATTATGATTCATATGCGTGCGATTTTAAAAATACATAGCAATTCTTATGAGAACTAAGATTTTTCTTAAATTAGTTACTATAAAGGTTTGATATTCTTCATTGGTGAGTAATTTAATTATAAACCTAAGCTCAAAAAATTATGCCTTTAAATGTTGTATTTAATATGTCTTATTTCAATATGAACTACTCATAACTTAATATTTTTTTAAAGTTGTCATAAGAATATTTTTTCTTTCAGATTCATGAACAGTTTCCTTGTTCATTTGAATTTAATGAACAATTTTTAGTCACTTTATTCGAACATTCCTATGCATCTCAGTTTGGTATGTATTATTTTCGTGAAATATTTTTTGATGTGCTTTTTAATTTAATTTTTATCAACTCGCATTCTTCTTATAAATGAGCGAATTCATGTTAATTTTTTTAAATTTTGGGAGTTTCCTTAAAATGCAGCTTCCCTATAGAAAGGATTTTAATTGTGAATAAGGGTTTTGATGTAAGTAATAATTAGACGGATGAACAACATTTAACAATAAATTTAATTAAACAAAATAAGTAACATCTCGGAAACGACATTTCTATGCCATCACCACCTTGGGCACACCCAATACCAAAGTAAAATAATACAGTTCTTGTACGTTTTCCCTCTCAGGGGAAAAGTTTAATCATTCTCCCTTTCAATTTGGATTTTCCCTTTTTGCTTTTGCTCTGAATCTCACTCCCATATTTTCATTTTATTTAGCCATGCTTGCTAGTATTAAAAATTATTTTGTTGGGTGCAGGTATGTATACCTGAATTTTGTGGAGTTTTTAATAAATGATCGGTTAAAAAATAAATAGGACTGTAAAACTCAATAATAGCATTGTTCGGTACTTGGGGATTATCCCGTCGACCTGTCTACGCTCGCAAAAATGCATAAATCCTATGGCGACATCATAAAGAAAAGCAATTTCCAAAATAATCATTCGAAACGCATTAAATTTATCAAATAATAATAACAATAAAATAATAGCAAAAAGTGTACGTGTAAAAATACGTAATAAAAAAGTGTAATCAAAAAAATCTAAACAAAGTAAAAACCTCTTTTTTTTATAAATACATATCAAATTATTCTTGAATCTAATGATATATATTTTTCTAAATCATTTAGGCTGCCAAAAATCCTTGATAGAAAATCCTTGATCCAAACAAATTGTACTCTCTTCCGTGCTAGTCAAGTTTCAAATTTGAATAATTTTGTAACCGAGTAAAAAAAAATTTTTTTGGATAAATTGAATTGATAATTTATAAATTGAAATACGAAAATGGTTGACAGGATAACCTCTAAGTACCCATTGTTCACATTTGAGAAATGATTTTTTTCCACAAATTCTAGATAGTTATTACATTGAAGGTATAGAAGATAAATGACTGTCTGTGAAAAAAATTCCATTTTCTTCATAAGGGTTTAAAACTATTGTTAGTTCAAAAATCGTAAGTGAATGAAAAATTGTAGCAGTGAAGAATAACAATGTGATGTTCATCATATGTGTTGCAGCAATGGATAAATAAGGAATTTCGCTGCTTAAAATTTTATGTAGATAAAATATAAGGAGTAAGGTCCATTCTCTTTCTTGCAACAATGAATGGAGGCAAAATTCCATTGTTTAAAAATTGTATATATATAGGTAATGCAGAATAATAATGTAAAGTATGGTAAATAATGAATTGTGGATGATCATTGTATTTGTGAACTATCTGATTCTATCTTTTGATGCTTTTGTTGTTCACCTGTTTTCTGATCACATGTTTATGAAGCATTTTTCTGATCATTTTTAATGTGGTATTCATCTTATCTCAAAGTTCTTTCCTGGGAATTTTTTTTAAAATTTTACTAATGATTGCAGGAAAATGTTGACTATTAAAAGAAGTATAATTTAATTTTACTTAAAATTTTGATGCTTATTAAAGTCAAATTTCAGAAACCTTTGGTAGAACATATATTATAAATTATTGAAATAAGAAAATAGCAAACAAGGAACTCTGTCAGTCATCCATTGTTACTCTTCGTTGCTCATCTACATACAATTTTGGAACAATGATTACAAATTATTGAAAAATATAAGAATGAATGTTTGAATGAGACTTTGTAATTGAATCGTTTTGTGATCAATGTAGTCCCTACTTTTGACATCAAAGGTGTTAGTGATAATGTATTTAGCAGTAAGAGCCTATATAATTGTGTACCTGAAACTATTGCCTAAGTATGAGACAATGTTAAATCATAAACAAAGCACACGCATTTTCCTTTTAAATATATGAAATGTAAAAAGTCAGCAATTTCTTAACAGTTACTAGTTTATTGTTGAATTTTATAGCTTTTATGTTTGATAATTTTGGATAAAGTGGTTATAACAACATCCCGATTTAACAAACTAACTTCCTTGCATTCTGTCTTTTTGTTATATATTTAATGTTGACATCATTAGTCACAGGTTGTAGTGTCTTCCAGCTAGACAAATCAATAATCTAAGTCACAATAAAAATAATTCAAAATTTATTCCTTCTATTTTCAATTCTGTCAAATGAGCTGGTGTGGAAATTGAAATTTTTTGCTTTTATATTTTTATAATGTACTGAAACGTACAATCCATGTTTATCGTATTTGTGTAATTTCTTTTACACTTGTAACCTTATTAATGCTTTTGCTTAGGAACATTTTTGGGCAACTGTGATAAAGATCGACACGACTGGAAGTTAGCAGAACGAACTGTTTCTCTATGGTAAATAAAAACTCTTTTGCATATTTTAATTTTAAGCAAAGTGAAACATGTTTATTAAATTTATTATTTTTAATACTGCATGTTATTCAGGAGTTTAATGGAAAGGCTAAGCACTGGAACTAATAATGACCATTAAGCTCTCAGGTGCTAATGAAAAGGATTATTGATTTTTAGCTTTGATGAAATAAATCTGTAATAAAATATGTTTTTTTTTTTAAATTAAACATCTTAGCTCAATAAAATAGTTATCAGTAACGATGAGATCGAATGTCAGCTTTTTTATTTTTTGTTTGTTTCTTAATCATTTTATAGTCAATATTAATATTTATTTTTTTAGATATGTAGTAGCCTTTTAATTTATGTTTTAGTCTGCTTTAATTCTTATAAAGATGTGGAAAAAATGTTTTTAGTTTGTTAAAAATTTATTCCAAGATTAAATTTTAAGCATTTTGTATGCAGAGTTAATACTTTGAAGGACTAGTAACTCTTTTTAGTTTTCTTCTGTTCCATAAGAGATTCCGTATGCTTTCCCCAAACTCTTTTAATACAATAATATAAATACAGTAAAATCTGCATTTAAAATAGAAATTTCTAAATAAGATACATTTAAGTTTTATGATTTTTAAATTTTTTTCTACCGAATTAAAGGAGAAATTTATATTTTTAGGTCAATGTTGAATCGAAGTGAAACTCTTCTGACATATTTAAATCCTATGTATGAACCAAACAGTCACATAATTTGGCCCTCTGTTGCTCCACAGAGTATTGTACTTTGGAGTGGCATGTATTTGCGATGGGTGGTAGACCAGAAACCTCAAGTGGATGCATGGAATGTCATTGAAGAAATTAGAGAAAAGGAAAAAGAACTACAATTTAAATCAGCTAAGCTCAGAAGGTCTTTTTTCTTTTCTCATTTAATTTGAAAACGTCTTTAAAATAATTATATTGAACTTCTGTTAATAATAATGTTCTGTTTGAAATAATTATATTGAACTCAGTTTTTAAATAATGCTAGTACAAGTTAAAATTTAAACCATCAGAATTGAGCTCAATTTAACTGAATGAACCCAATTAAAACTTCCTATACATATTGTCTACATCATATATTTGATGTTTTGTAAAGGAAAAAAAAACTTTCCAAAAGATAGTGCTGCATAGTATGAAACCATGCACATCTGCCTGTTGGTTTCATAATATTATTGGATAGAAAGGTATGCACACAGGTGTGTCAGTAATTAAATTGTTCCGCTAATCTTTGAGTTTTGAATTCTAAACTAAATTCTAAATCTTTCATTTTACTTCATTACATTGCTACCATTTAGTAAAATTTGGAACTTTTTACTTTAACTGAAACCTTAGTTGCACGATGTACAAAATATATCTTTTTGAATGTTTCCATTCAATGTTCATATAATATTTAATGTTTCAAGTCCATATACAATCTATATATATATATATAATTAGGTATTTAAATTATTTTTGCATGGAATTGTCTTTTTATAAAAGAGTTTTATAATTACTGTTTTACTTAAAAAGTTGTGGCGAAATATCCAAAAAGTAAATTAGCATTAATGGATCTAAACTTTGGAAGACCCCATCCGAGTAAACTATTTTGAATCTATGCATTTTCCACTTTGCGGCTATTCCATATATTTTGACAGTCAAGAAATAATATAAAAAGGCATGTTTATTCCAAAAATGACATTTATGTATCTAATATCATAACTTTATTAATAGCACTAATGAAGTGGCATATTTGAAATCAACTCTTCAAACCATCAACAATGACACTTAGTATGTAAGAATCTAATCATTAGAACAAAAATTTTCCAGGGTAGCATTTTAAGTTATTAAATTGGACATGAAAACATTCTTTCTCTAAATAAACATGCTCTTAGAACCATTGATATTTTTGGATTCTTATCCATCAATGTCTGAAAGGTTGCGTAAAACTGGTAAATATGGTTTGAAAAAAAGCAGTCAAAAGTTTGTGCTTTGTGATGTCAATTTTACTTTTTGCATATTTTGCCATAACTCAAAATCTTCTAGCACACGATTACTGTATCCAAAATAAATCCATGCCCTCCTCCCCCCCCCAAAAAAAAAAATACACGTATTTTTATTAATGGTAAAATATTTTTTGCATGACTTTTAAATAGTAAGATATTTAAAATTGCAAAATAGAAAATTTGAATGAAATCAATGGAATAGTTCTTGTAAAACTGAAATTAAATTAAACAACTTTACTTTTATAATTCTGAAACTACTCGACTATTTAAGTTTAAATTTTTCATTTTGAAATTCAAAACTTCCACTATTAAATGGCCAGTATAGGTACTGCCATACTTCATGCTGCGTGTATAATTGACTGCATATAAAAGTTATAAAGGTTTTTAAAGTTAGGACTGTTTTAAAGAATCTTTTTTTTTTAATATTTCTGAAACCTGTAATTATATTTAAATTCGAACAATAAACTATCATGTATTTAATATTTAGGTTGATTTTATAAAATTATTTAAAATAAAAATTTTTTTTAAATATATAGTATTTGTATATATTGTATAGTATTGTATATATTGGAAAAATTATGATGAAAACATGTATTTTTAAAAAAAAAAAAATGCATTTGTATTTCCTATTAAGCTTTTCAAATCAAGCGAAATAACTGAATTCGTTCAAGAAACATGCTTCCCTTACATCCATTTTCAAAGTTCATAGCAGCTCTTTTTTAGTTTTCATTTAAACCATCTTTAGACTTATTTGTCTCATCTTCAGCTTATGTACAAACAACAAAACAAATTCATATAGCCAGACTAGATTCTGTTCCTGGACTGTGAACACAAATGTTGAAGATAAAACGTTATTTAAGATAGTACTAACGTTAAAACATTAGCGAATAATTTAAAAATAGCTTACTTAAAAAATGTATAGGGTGTTAATTGCCACGCTATTTGGATTTTCATTTAATAACATGAGTGAAATGCACAGAGAGAGAGAAAACATGATTTTAACTTAAACTGAATTTGGAATCCTCAGTTAAAGCTACATTTGTTTTGTTCTTTTTCTGAGTTATAATTTGTTTATATATTTTTTTAAATATACAACATGCTGCGCATTTATATTTATTTATTTATTTAATTTATTTTACAGAATTATTTATGAGCTAGAGAAGGAAGCTGGTGAAGCTGGCTTACTAAGTCCAGAAACTACTGACTTATTACCTTTGGATGATTAAATCATATGTTTATTTTTATTAAAAGTTATTATATATTTTCAAGGATGTGTATAGCGTAATTATTATTAAATCAATTTCTCTATAACTAACAATAAAATATTTTAAGCTGAAAATTTTTCATTTCTTTGATAAAACATTGCAGAATTTCATTTACCTACAGTATTTTTTTTTTTTCATTTGAATTTTTGCTACTGAGTCATGAATAGTGCTGTTATTTATATTCTTTGCTTTTTAATTTATGTTTTACATTTAAATAATTGCTTCAGTACAGTAGAGCCCTGATTATCCTTGGAATTGGATGGCAAGAACATGGCTGATAACATAAATTGTAGATGATCTGAAAAAACTTAAAAAGTAATGTGGAAACAGTGAAAATAATTTTAAAATGTATTCATGCATTTTAGACATACAACAGAAATCTTTGCTCTTAATCACTGAAACGAAAAATAGTAAAGAAAAAATCAGTACATACATACACCATAAAAGTGTTTGGTTACACTTTTTTTTAAAAAAAATCAATGATTGATCACGTGCAATATAATTTCCGGTCTCTTTCGGATGATCGGAGCTCTATTGTACTTATTGTCGATGCTGATCTGATACTATTGTCGATGCTGCTTTCAAACTTTTCTCTGTTCATTTCAATACAATCTCATTTTTAATATTCTTGAGGGGGAATGTTTTTTAATTTCTTATTTAAGTAATACTTGGTTTTCAATTTTTTTTATATTTGATTTAGTTTAATAGAACATTAATTTTATGTGGACATTTTGAAACTGGCTAAAAACTGTTTGAAAACATTGAAATTTCACTGTATATCTGTCTCTTTCAATTTTTAATGCTTTTCATCTGAAATAATCTTAATTCTTTTATTTATTTATATTTTTATTTGCAATTATTGTGGACCTTTTTATACCTTCTCAGATGCTGCTTGATCAATGAAGTTTCAATGTATATCAGGAAAAAAAAAATATATAATGCTGTTTATTTAAAATGACATTCACTCTTTGTTTTCATTAAATTTAGTTTAATAGAACATTTGTGAACATTTCATAACTTATAACTGCATGATTGCTAAAAATTATGAATGCTTTTTTCATGTAGCCCATAAATTAGTTTCCAAAAAAGTAAAGTGTGTAACAAAAGAAATGAACGTTTGTAGTTATGTTGTTTTTGTGTTTTTTACTACATTATCAAATCACTCTGACTTTGTTTATTTCATATTGTTACTTCACAAAATTGAAACTTTAATTAAATAATCTTTTATAAAATTATTTCTGTTACATTAGAATATACACTTTGTTGCATGACAAATGGTATTGAGAAATTGTTTTTATTGTTTGTTGACAGCTTACTTAAAAAAAGGCATTTTCATTTATATAATGGTAAAAAAAAATGTAAAATCAATGTTTTTAAAAAAAAGAACTGTAATAATTATTATTAGTACTAGTATTTAGCATTATTTTCCTTTTCTAAGGAAATTCATAATAAAATTGGATTTAAAATGCAGCTGTGGATTTAAAATTATTCTTAACCCAGTTAAAGCTCTATTAGTTAAATGAAAATTATGTCGACATATATTTATATGAACTCGAATAATTATTCCAAATTATATTACATTCATGATGGCGCGGTGGTTAAGGCACTGAACTGTCGTTATAATGAACTGAAGCTTGAACCCCATTGGTTGCTGGAAATCCACCCAGCTTCAGTTTGTCTGTGAGAAAGTGCGCAATGCTCACACTACTGACCACAATCTTGACATTGGGAGCGATTATGGCCTGATACGAGTTCCGCACCCAGCTCACACCACCCATAATGCTGACATAAAATATCCTCTATGGTAAATAAATCTTGGGTTAGAGTCACCTTGCTGTCAGGCTAACTGTATATTGCCTTTGTGGTTTTCTTCTCCATGTAACACAAAAGAGGCTTAGTTCCATCAAAAAGTTCTCCACATTTATTATAATACTTGATCAAAGAGTTCCCTTAGAGGTAAACTCAAAATTAGGTTGGTTGTTCAACAACAGTTATAAAATCAAATCATGTCATTGGTTATGAACCTTAACCTCCATGTTGCAAAAATATTTTATTTAATAATGATGCCTTCAACACTTTCCTACAATTGAGTAAAAATTTAATAATTCAGAGTGAAGCTCTCAGTTAAGTCAGAGTCATTTCAGCTACAAACTCCACAGCAGTCATACGTAATAAATTTCAATCATTTATTATCATCATCATCTATACCTTTTGAGACCAAAAGGACTTTTTCTAGGACATCTATCCCTCTCAAATTCGGCCTGCCTTTTTTTAGTGTGCCAACTGGTCTGGCATTAGAAACTCTTTTAGTATACGGTCTTCATCCTTTTCTGATAACATGGCCTGTCATTTAATGAAGTTCATAATTATATGAGTGATAAAAGCTCTAAATATGTTCCTCCAAAAATACTTCTCTCAAAGGTACCCAACATTAGGTCATCCATACGAGAGATGGTTTCACAAGCATATGTTGAAACTGATCTTGTAAGAGATTTATGCAATAAAACATTTGTTTTTCTATGGATTTGATTAAATTTTATGTTCATTAAATCATTTAACATAGATGATGATAAAATTTACATGCATCATTTTTACTGTAAAACTATTTCATTATACTTGATTTCTTTATTTATATTATCATTCAAATTTATTATTTATGTATAATTTATTTGATATATTTACGTTATGTTTATAGTTTGATATCTAAACCATTAAAAATTAATGCTTGTTAAATTGAATTTAGTTTTATTGTTTATTAGAAGCATGTTGGTAGAAAAAATATTTGTGTTCTTCCATAAATATTGTAAAAGTTTTAATAATATGAACGTACATAAATGTTCAAATTCCCATCAATTAAGTATGAAGGAAAATAAAAAATTTTATTAGACATCTAGTTGCTGATTAGTAAAGTAAGCAAGCATTTGAAAATTTCCGATAAAGCCGATGAAATCGAAAAGAAAAAAAATATTGCAATTATTTATTTGTATAAATATTATTATTCATATTTCAAATTGCTGGAAGTGTTTGAAGTCACATGTTAGATATTAATTTTCTTGTACAGTGTGTAAAATAAAAAATCAAACACCCTAAATAACTTTTGATCTAATGATCAGATCTTCATGTTCTAAGACTCAATATGAATGGTTCGAGGGAGTGATCTCAAATATAATAATTTATTAGTGCAGGCGATATGTTAAGTTACAAAATCAGACACAAAAATTTAATTTCGCTGAATAATTTTCGACGAATTCGATTTTTTGACCCCGAAAATATAGGGGGTAGCTGAAATCTGGGAAATATATTCCCAAATTGATCTCCCAAATGTTAATTTTATTTTGTGCATATTTCGCCATAGTTCAAGAACTTTTTAAGCGAATTTAAAAATCTTTGCTCACAATTAATTTTAAAACCCTTTTATCCAAAGATGAATCGACGTAAAAAATAAATTTTAGTAAATGTTTTTTATTTTATAGAGTGACAGTCAGAAAAACTTTCAAATGTAAGATATACAAATTTGTACATAATTAATTAGTGAAGTTGTTATTTTAAGTAACAAAATCAGACACAAAAACGTTTTTCCTCTAGATAAACATACCTTTTCTGACGGATTTCGAACCCCTTCAATAAAGGGGGTTGCCGCAGTTCGTAAAATAGGATCCAAATGGTTTTGTCAAGAGAGCAGTCTAAATTTTCCTTTTTGCATATTTCACTCCAGAACTTTTTAAGCGAATTTTTGCACACAATTATAAAATTCATTTATCCAAGGATAACTCCTTGCAAAATATAACTTTTAGTATCTATTTATTATTATTTCATTTAATTATTGTGGAAAAACTTTTGAATTGTAAGTTGTAAAATTTTTTTTTTTCATTTACATCAAAGAATAAAATTTTCAAATGCAAAATTTGCGCAAAAACATAGTTCTTGAGAAATGGAATTTTAAAAATATGTTTTCAATTTTTCGACCTATTTCGCGCAATTTTTTTTTTCCATTTAAAATTGCATTCCTGAAAATGGTGTTTAAAATTGTCTCTCTCCTATTCATATTTCTTGGGTCAGAAATTAAAATCCGTCAGAATAAAGGAGTGTTTATTCAGAGAAAGTACGTTTCTGTGTCTGATTTTGTAACTTAAAATATCATCTGCACTAATTAATTCACCTATTTGAGGTCACCCTTTTGAACTTTTCAGATTGAGTCCCAAAACATGAAGATCCAATCATTAGATTAAAAGTTATTCTGGATGGTTTGTTTATTTATTTCGCTCATTGTACAATTTAATATATGTTGGTTGTAAAAAAGATCTTTGAAACATAGGTCACTCTATACTAACAAAATATCCCTGAGTTGTAATTTTGCTTTACAGAAAACATTCTAATCACACGAAAAGAATTTAAGGCATTACTTTGGACATTACTGTTTAATCCATCGAATTTCTATTTACAAAAAAAACTGAACATTTTACAAACTACGAAATAAAGTCTTTCTTTTTTTAATATGAAAACAAAAATTGCACCACCTGCTTTGATTTTGTGGAATCATCTCAAAAATTTCTTGAGAAGATGGAAAATAGAAAGGAGAAAGAAAAATAAAGTGAAAAAAAAAATTTTTTTTTAATAATATTTTCTACCCTATAATTATTGCTAATATGCAAGGTGAGTCTGAACAAGACGACAAAACTTCTAGGGGGCATCATAAGGATTAAGAATTGTATAGCAACCCATGACTGAAAGTGCCGGTAGGGACACTTCCCTATATTAACCTTTTTTCCCCTCACATTTCTGTGAATAGGTACTATAATTTTAATCTTAATATCGTATTTTCTTAGGATTTATGTTGAAAATGACCTTTTTTACTGATATTGGATATTAAATTATGATAAAATTCTAACACTGAACCCATTTAAATGCCATTTTTGATAATGATTATTAGAAAATCAATAAGATTTAAATAAATAAAAATACCTGTTCAAAGACGGGCGTAATATCAGTTCATAAGGAAAACACTGAGCTCCTTATAATGTACCCTATCTCCCCTAGAAGTGTTGCCCTCTTGTACAGACTCACCTTATATAATGTTACTGTGAAAGACCGAAATCTGTTGCTGACTTCTTTCAACGGTGAATGTTGACAATCACCTTGTTACTTTAGCGAATGTGCAAAATATATACTAGGTCTAGTGAAGTGCCACTGCCAGGCATGCCCTGCATCAGTGTTTTTTTAAGGTCAAATGCCACTGCCCAGTATGAGTTTAACTAGTACTCGGAACACTAATGTTTCTCCTAATCTATCTCATCCCCCTCTGCAGAGGATCAAAATTGCGATACATGTCTTCGGATCATTCTTTGGGATGTTTCCCAGACCGACGCCAATAGCCCATTGTACAGCTCTAGTGCGACATGAATGAACTACAACAACAACCTAATCTATCCTCAGCAAATTTAAAATGTCGAATAAATATAACAATATGAACATATAAGGGCCGGGATAGCCTGGTTGGTTAGGACGCTGGGCCCATGTCCAAGAGTTCGTGGGTTCGATCCTCGCCGGACGAAGATTTCCCGTGTGATAAATGGTGACTGATGCACGGTAAATATGTCGAGTCGCAAAGTCCTCCATGTTTCCACAACGAATCAATACCTCTGGGGGTACTGATCCAGGAGTTCCCTTGTCTTCTGGATTGGGTTCAAAATTACAAGGCTACGGAGTTGAACATTAGTAGGAGTAGTCGTAAACCCAAAAATGGGTCGGCTGTTCAACGACGGATATAAAATAAAATATAAATTTATAACAAATATTTCGGACATTCAATAAAGTGATTGTTGACATTCACCGGTGAAAGTCGACATTCGCTTGATTTTGGTCATTCACGGTAACATATTATTAAAATATAGAAACCAAGCCAAAACTGAAATATCGTCGCAATATTTTGGACAGGAGAGCGGTTAATGATAATTTTGCGTACTTCACCATACCTCGAAAAAATTTTAAGCGAATTGAAACATTTTTTCCACGCAATTATCCAAATTAATTCCGTACAAAATATGACTTTTAGTATTTATTTATCATTTTATATTATACACTGCTGAAAACAATTAAAGGATATTGTAAGTCTTGTACAAAATAACGGTATAAGCAATTTTTCGTTTTGTTTTGTTGAATAAAATGGAATTTTTTTTTATTTTCAAACTTCGCAGTATGGAAATTTTGAGTTTGACGTTGGAGACGACGCTTTTACCGGTGGCGAATATGATTTGGCTTTCAACTTATTAATGTAAGAAGACAAATCGGAAAAGAATGATCGACATTCAGTAATGTTTGGATGAGTGCGATGTCTCGACGAAGCCATTTAACCGAAGCCTGTAGAGTTGATGGCCGGTTAGAGGAGGGCCGAATTGATTGGAGTTTCACGAAAATGTGTGATTTCCAGGATCTGGAACCGTTTTTTGGAGACTGGAAATGCATGCGGTAAGGTGTGCAACATCGCTCAATGAAGACCGTGTTTTAACGCTAACTGCTCAGAGACACCGAAATATGAGTGCGTTTTTGTTTCTCTCATACTTATTTATTAATTTGTGGCTCCCAATGTGTGTATAGTTCGTTCACCAGGAGTTGGCACTTGGCTCCGTTTTCATCACGTGGTATCCAACGATACCATTTCGCTATTTTTGGGAGACGGGTTTGAAGAGTCCTTAATAAGGCTGCTATTTTGCGATCGTTTGACAAAAATATTTATTTCGCAATCTTTATGCGCTTTTTTTAACGTTAAATATTTCATAAATTGGATGATATTTCTCTCTTTTGAGTGAATAGTTTGTCCTTTTTGAGACATTTTGCTGCAATACATTTAATTAGCTAAAGTAACGAAAGGTATAATAGGAAATGATAAAGCGAAGTAAGTGACTGAAAAAGAATTCGCTGTTTGCATTTGGCGTGCATTAAGGGTTGTCTCAATTTCAAGCGCGGAGAAGTTTCTCCTCTTACTCCCGCGCCTAAATAAACTCTTCGTCCTAGGAGGTGGAGCCAAGTGTCAGCTCCTGGCGAACGAACTATACTTTAGTCTTATTTTTCAACAATGAATCTAATTATTTATATGAAGGGTAGTTCTCTTTACCTTCTGGCTAACCGTAGGAAGTTTTGTAGTTTTCCTCTCAATGTAACTCAAATGTGAGTTAGTACCATTAAGATTTCCCTCCCGATTGTTAAAATCCAAGTGTTCTCTTGTCTTCTAGGTAGGATTCAACATTGCAAGGCAACTAAGTTGGCCATTGATAGTCAGTCACTTACAAGCATAAGGGTGGTAATTCTGGTTCAAACTGAAATGTGGCAAATACTCAAGATTTAATGAAATAAATTACATTTTATTCATGTATTAAATTTACATTGAGCAAATATTAGGTGCTAAAGTGGTTGGGTGGTTGACCCCTGGTGCCATGGGCAGTGATAGCAAACACAGCTCCAGCATCTGGATAGTTTCCCTCGTCTTCTGCAGATTTTGCTGTGGTGACATAAAGAATATCAAAATGTGGACCACCGAAGCAGCAAGAGGTGACATTCTTCGCGGGTATGTCGAATCTCCTGAGGATTGTCTCTGCAAAATAATTAGAAGAAAGAAACTTAGTCTTGGATTCGTACATTGGCAATCAAAATGGGCTACAGAATAGAACTCTCTACTTATGATGTCAACACGCTTTCACCATTAGCGTGTGGAGAGTCATGGAAGAAGTTTCTGTGTCTTGATTTTCTAATAGATTAAAATCTTTTTAAGTTAATCAACTATATGGAACTACATTGAATATAGTTGTAAAAGAAAAAGTGCCCCATTCATGTTCCATTAGAAACCAGGACCAGTTTGCCACGTTCTTAAAAAATTTAATTTCCACGTGATTCGACATATTTATAAATGAAACAATAGTTTCATCGAATGAAAAAAAAATTATATTAAAATACTTTCATAAATCGAAAACATTGCCTTACTTGTAAAAAATGCCAAATTCATGAATGAACTCATAAATGGAAAATGCGATGCCCCCCTTGGCATCATCCAAGGTGGTGGACCTTCCTAAAGGTAGGGCCTTCGAACCCTACGCCCTTTTGAATGAAAAAAAGCATTTTAAAAAATTTATATAGTTTTAAAACGCAATTTACCGTTATTTTTTTATTTTTGGTATTATGAATAAAATACTTATTTAGAATTTATTTAATTGTCTGAACTACATGAGTGTGTCACAATTTAAATAAGTATAGGGAACTGTATCTTCAGGGTAATGCATGAGCATAAAATTCTGAGTTTACTAATTTATAGGGTCCCACGTACACAATTTTGAGACCAAGCGGTTCCCTACAAATTAGCCTCCCTCTAAAAATGGGGAAGAAAGAAAGGAAAAATACTTCATCAACGCAATGATGAATTGTGAAACATAATATAACAATAATAATTGTATAGAATTGTAAACAATATAATGATTGTTACTTGTTTCTGGATCAATCCGAATAACACATCCTCCTGCATAGTTGGCAACCCAAAGTTTTCCTTCAATATCAATAGTCATACCATCTGGATAACCGAGTTCTTTATAATCTTCATCCACGTTATAATCAATTAATATTCTTCTGTTGGCTGAAATATAATGAAGAACCTTGATTGTACAGTACAGAACCCGTTATCCGGAAATCAGAAAACCGGAAAACCAAAAAACCGGAACGAAATTCGATAAATTTTCCCACCATTAAAAACAAAATTTTTTTTTTCCTTATAAAATTGTACGATTTTTCGTTCTTTTTTGAAAGATGTTTACCTTACCATCATTTTGGAAATAATCATTAGTGTATTGCTCCATCGTTTTTTCTTCTTTTTAAGATTGCTTCCAAAAAAAAAATTTTTTAGTTGTGTTTAACAATAAAAAAACGGCTTTTCGTAGCGATTCAGAAAACCGAAAAAATCAGTTATCCGGAATAGTGATGGTCCCGATCGTTCCGGATAATCGGTTCCCTACTGTACTACATTCACATCATAGATACCAGATGAAGAGAACGGGCTGCCTCTGTGAGTTTTGTGCGTCCTCTTGAATTAATTAATTATATAGATTGCGACAATTTGATTATTAATATAACTAAGTAGCGAGTCGTGGTGGCTCAGGGGATAGAGCATTCACCTGCCAATGGTGGTAACCGGGCTCGAATCCCAGCGATGGCTGGTTGATACGAATTCCGCACTGACCACAGTGCTGACGTAAAATATCCCCAGTGGTAAACGGATCATGAACTAAAGTCTCTTTGCCATCAGGCTAACAGTGGGAGATTTTCCTCTCCATGTAATGCGAATGCCGGTTAGTTCCATCTAAAAGGCGAATTTCTTTCAATGCTTCATCCAAGGGACCGGGATAGCCTGGTTTGTAGGGCACTGGGCCCGTGTCTAAGAGCTCGTGGGTTCGATCCCCGTCGGACGAAGATTTCCCGTGTAGTAAATGGTGACTGGTGCACGTTAAATATGTCGAGTCGCAAAGTCCTCCATGTTTCCATAACAAATCAATACCTCTGGGGGTACTGATCCAGGCTTTTCCTTGTTGTCTGGATTGGCACAAGAATAAAAGGCTACGGAGTTGAACATTAGTAGTCGTAAACCCAAAATTGGGTCGGCTGTTTAATGACGGATAAAATAAAATAAAATACTTCATCCAGGAATTGTCTCGTCTTCTGAATCGACTCAAAATAACAAGGCTACGGAATTGAACATTGATAGTTGTAAAACCAAAATTGTGTCGGCTGTTCAACGAAGGTTGTAAATAATTAAGTAGCACGCTGCCATCCACTGAGCATAACGTGAATTAGAATGTGTTGAAGTTCTAGCAGCTTTTCAAAGTCTGAAATTCGTGTCATTATGAAGTACTTTTCAGTTTGCCAACGTCCAACAATAGAAATTCTTCTGTTTTGTTCTTACTTTTGGCAAGGCTCGCCCGAACTAGAAGTACACTAAACCTGTGGTTATAGATTTCACTTTACACCAGATACCCTGACGGTGACTGTTCTAAGAGACAGACAATACCTATTTCCCCCCCTCTTCCCAACATCCCTCAGCATTCTACTGTATGTTACGGAATTGGTGATTTGTAGTTCAGTGCGTAGCATTCTTGTCTTACATTGCTATGGGCATTGTGAAAATCCTGTTATTCTTTTACTTATTCTAATATTTAATACGGAATTGGTGATTTGTAGTTCAGTGCGTAACATTCTTGTCTTACACTGTTATGGGTATTGTGAAAATCCTGTTATTCTTTTACTTATTCTAATATTTTACTAATACACTGTTTTATTGTATTTTTAGTTAGCATATGCTTTCTTAAAGATACTACTTCATATTCGCTTTTTCTCATTATTATATCAAACTGTAAGAGAAGAAGTTTAAATGAAGAAAACCGAACATTTAATGTAAAGTGGGGTTAGATTATTTCTTTACTTCAGTGAAAGATAAAATGGCGTGTTTTCTAGTCTAATACAGTTTCGACTGCATTGAGAAAAAAATGCAAATGAACACTATTTGACTCATAAAGAACATAAATATTTCAATTTAAAAGCTGTATCTCGACAAGAAGTATTTATTGAAAACTAATTAAACTTAGTTATTTTTATTTGAAACAGTATTTAAACATATGTAGTTGTTTATTAAAAAAAAATTTATGTTATACGAAGAATAATGTTAAAGATTAATGTAATACTGAATTATTAGCCTTATGCAAATATAAAAGTATTTTATATTGTAAATTTTTATTTCAATAAATGACTTAATGTTTTTTGCATTATTTCTATGTAATGCAATAAATTGATAAAACTATTCAAAAATTATAATAATTTCACAAAAGTCGCCTATTTATATTAACTTATGCGGTCTCCTATATCTCTGCCTATTTTAATTGTGTTTTATAGTAAAAAGGTTCCCCACCTCTGCTGTATACTATACTCTTTTCAAATAGAATAGGCGTCTCAAGATTTCCCCACTCTCCACACTTTTTCCTTTTTCGTTTAACGGAAAAAGGAGAGTCCGTTTAGTGGTTTCGGTAAAAAGCTTGCTTTTTCCATACTGCAGTACGCTTCAGTATAAATTTGGAATATATATATTGAAGTGGGGGGAAAAAGCAAGATTTGCTGAAACCATGGTCACAAAAAAGGGAGAGAGAGAAGCCTATTATATTTACAAAGAATGTACTCATCTTCGGGGCTGTAACTATAAAAAGTTCAGTAGACCTGAAAATAACTTCTATCCACGTGGCGAGTCAACTGAAAAAGGGTGGCGAAGTAAATTAAGTAAACAGTCCATCACTTGTTCCATTCCTTTAATTGTTTAATAATAAAAGTACATTAACTCAGAAAAATTCTGTAGAACAGATTTTTTTATTATAATGACCAAATGTCTCCATTCAGAATTTTGATCCTTCAAATTTTATCAATTTGTGATTCATATGCGGTAGGAAAGTTCTTTATCGAGTCACACGTATGACCGAAATTAAGAGAATGTTGACTTTCACCAGATAACAGTCACATAGTCGCCTTGGTGAATGTCAGAAATAATTTTTATATCCTATGTGACATTCATTTATTCGTTGATACTATTATATTTAATCTATATTTTAGTATCTGCTGAGGATGGATTAGGAGAAACATCAGTGTTCGGAGAACCGGTTAAAAAGCATCAATGTAGGGCACTTAACTAGATCTAGTATGTGACATTCGACAACAAAGCGTGATTGTCAACATTAACCCATTTCGGTCACTCACACCATTAAATATAGTTCCCAAATATTATTAAAGAAAGTTCTTTTATCATATATGAAACGAACCTATCTCCCAAGGACGTGATATCAATACGGTACTCTCATATTATATCTTGTATTAGTACGAATGTTAATAGGGGAGGTGGGGGGCACATGTGAACATGGTATGTTTTACCAATATGATTCGAAATAAAAAATCTTGAAAAATTTCCGATTGATGGCAGTACTCTCTGCAAAACTTTCAGAACAATGAGACATTCTATTCTGACAATTTCTTTGTATCAGCTGGTGTTGTATATATTATAATCACTCGCTTCTTCAAGTGAAAGCATAGTATAAATCAACAAATAAACTAAAATTAACTATGGCAGACCATTATATGAACATTCAGGTAAGTTTATGACAATTATTTTCTTTTTTACTCAATTAAAAATTCCTTATTTTTCAAATTAGCTTTGAGAAGGATGATGGGGCACTTGTGAACAAAATATCTGGGGCAGATGTGAACAGTTCACATGTGCCCCTACATAGTATTAAGATTATTATCCACATGATATTTTAAGTTTAAAAAATATGTATGCACTTAAAATTATTATTATTTAATTTTCCATAATTAATTTATTAATTTTTTTAATTTTTATTTTTATTAAATGGTTGATCGCGCATCGCGCATTCTAACTGATACACTTGAGAAAGATAGAATTGCTAAAGCTACAAATGAAAAGATAGAGAAAATGAAAAAAAAAAAAGCATGAAAGAGTATTAGAGAAGAAAGAAAAAGGCCCATTACAACTCCTGAGGAACATGGTTTGCGAAAAACCCAACAGCGGAAAAATTATTGTACAGCTGAAATTTTTTTTTCTTATTGACAGTACTGTTGTACAATTTAAATTCACATAGTAAGCTACAACCCCTTCAGTATAATGCGTATCTATATCTGTTATAGTGAAGATTTTTTTTTTCTTTGAATTATGATGATTGCTTTGTGTTTTTAATCTTGTTCATATGTACCCCCAATAGGGGCACATGTGAACAATTGAAGTCATTTTTCTAAAATATCATAAAGTAAAGAAATATTTTATTGAAAAATCTCAAAAAATTCCATAAGACAAAGAAAAGACTATTTAAACATATGGACTTCTTTACTGTGAGAAATGGATGATATTTTTTGAAAAATGAAGAAATAAAAAAATTTGTTCGCATGTACCCCCCTCTCCCCTACTTGATACAAGAGCAAATTGTTTTACCAATATTAGTTAGTGAAAACTTTAAGTACAGAAAAAGTTGAGTTAATGTAAGCTGAAAGTAAGCCATCGAGCACCAATTGCTGAAATTAAAAATAAAAAAATTTCAAAATGCAAACCAATTATGGCAGCAATAGTCACATTACGCAGCTGGGAAATAATCCTGCCATAATTTGCATTTTGATAATTTGGAGAAAGAAAAAAAAAGATTTTAATATCTGATACTTTATGGTTTACTCTAGGTTTGCCTGAACTCACCGTTTTCTATGCTTAAAATTTTAAATTAACAATAGAGATTAAACAAAATTTGTCATGAAAAGTTTCTCCTTCTCTATTGCGTCCTCTTCAGTTCTTTTTAGCGTGACTTATACCAGGTGACTTATACCAGGCCCGGTGGCTGAGCGGTAGCGCTTCGCGCTGTCGTGCCACAGGTCCTTGGTTCGATCCTTGGGCCGGGCAAGGCCGACTCAGCCTTTCATCCCTTCAGTGGGTCGATAAAATGAGTACCAAGCATGCTTGGGAACTAACACTGGGGGTTCCGCGTTCGGCTGACCACCTGACCGGAACATATGCTCCTGCACCCCAGAGCCCAAGGTCAAGAAAACTGA